TTTTATTTAAAAAAAATTATTTCAAAATAACAAATTTTTATTAAATACAACATTATAAAATGATTTTTCTTGTGAAAATTCTATTGATTCCATGATTTTATGAAATTTTCTCTAATAAGAAGATACAAAACAGACCTTAGATTTTATGTCAATAGATAAAATACAGATTATAATTTCTTTTAAATTTGATATTAATTGCATTATATTAAGACAAAATTCCATGTAAAAATATTTTAAAATAAACATGACTATTTACTTAAAAATTTCAAAAAAATTAAAGAAACACTAAAATAAATTAAAAGTGTTATCACATTTCATTCTTTTTTACATTTCAGGAATATAACATGTCTTATATAGGAGTTAACCTTTATCTGCCTGAACATGCAAAACACATTAAAAGCTTTCCTCATGCATGTCTTACTTATTATCCTGGAAGTTATATTAATTAATGACTGTTTATATTTGTTAAATATAAGAAAACTAAAATTTTATGTAATGTACTGCTTAAAAAGTTGAAGATAAACTGCTTAATGAATATACCATTTATTATGCAGTTTATTTTTAATTTTCAAGAATCACATTCAAATATAGTTCATACTTTATCAGCATTGAAAGCCTTTTAAAATCTTTCCAGTTGGTAATCATGTGATTATAGATTAACAAAATAAAATAAACAGCTTGAAAGCTGTGCTCTTTTCTAGGGTTAAGTCTTTTCTAGTCTTTCAGGATGTTATTATATGGAACTTCTATATTTGAATCTGTTTCTTATTAGGATTGGATTATATGGAGTCATTATTTTCAGTTTTAAGTGATTAATCAGTTTATAAATGTTACAACAGAAGGTATTTAATTTATATCAATTTCTTAATTTTTTTTTTTTTTTTTGCAGCCATACCATCATTTATTTAGACCTACCTCCGACTGGGGACCACATATTGCATCAGAGAATAAAGTACAAATTGCTCAAGTATTAACTTCAAATTATCAATCAAACCATCATGAGACATATGATAATCCTTCTTTTCAATATACGACAAATATGTAAATTTGACAATATATAGCATTTTATAAATTATGTTTTGTATTATTCATTAAGCAGTTTACATATTATGTAAATATTTATATTTATGATATATATTTTTAATATAAAAAAATTTTTGTGCATCTCTTTAGATGAAGAGTAATCTTGCACATTGTATGCTAATCAGAATCATTGTATTGTATATAGTGATATCAAAGATTATTTTATCAAATAAAGTCATTAAGTAAATGTTGTGTATTTATTTGAATTATTATGAACTTAGATCTCATAATTAAAGATTTATTTAATTTCATAACAAATTTATGTNTTTAATTTTTAATTTTGAATTTTGTATTCCATTGATGGAATCCTTTAATTCAAATTTGTTCTAAACCTGAGGATGGCCTGTGAATCAGACTAAAAACGTTTGTTTGAAATAAATTATATTTCTCGGCAAGAATAAGGTGTTAGTTATATGTTTAGTGATTTGCTGAGTACTTTATGATAAAACAACAACTTCATGCATTTTATAAAAAAATTCCTTTACTATAAAAAGCATTAAGCATCTGTCCAACATTGATAGGTGCTATTAGATGAAACTAAACTAATAAATAGATGCTGCCAATTTTACAAATTTGTCATATTAAAAAAAATACTGTCAAGTACTAAAAGTAAACTGTTGATAACCAAGATGTCTTATTAGAATGTATGCTGTTCAAAAGCAAACTTTTATTTTGGTTGTAAGTGCTATATTGTGATTATTAGGAATGGTTTTCATTGTTTTTGTTTATTGTTTTAGTAAAAGAGTTAATAAAAACAATAATAAATTGAATATGATTTTTACAATTCTATTTACCATGTGGTACTGCAAATTTTACTCACATTAGTTTCTCATAATTAAACAAAAACTAAACATTCAAAAGAACTAAACAAAGCTATTTTGGGTTTATTCAGATTAACAAGAGTATACTGTTTGTCTCTTTTTTTAATTGAATAATAATCAAAACTATATTCATTTTTGCAAAACTGAATAGATTTATTTTTGAACCTTCAACATTTTCTGATNAAAAATAAATATTTTCTGTTATAATTTACTATTAAAGGGAATCTCAAACATATCAGTTTAGTATTATGATTATTAAAACAACATACACAAATCACAATTTACAAAATATATATAGAATAATTATATTGTAATAGCTTTAAATTTTTATGGTTTAACAGTGTCGAAAATATTCCAAAATTAAATATATGCTGTTTTTGTTTTAAAAGATTTAAAACATTCTAATAATGTAATAACTTTAATAATTCAGATATTTTTATACTGCAAGTCTTTATATAAAATATAGACCACTTATGCATATGCATGTTATCATATGTATAATCTATTGCTTTTAGCCCTTGATGATGATTTATTTAAAGTCTGTATTAATTATACATGTATGTACTGGTACATGAAGGCTTATCACACCAGTGAACAGGTTAGAACTGGTTACTATGGCAATGCGTCCCATGTCAGTCAGATCAGCCAGTTCAAACAAGGTGCCATTTGTTTCCATTGGCTAAAGAAAAAAGTAGAGAAAGTGGTATTTTTAGAAAATTTTACATTTGTTAATTAAACATCACCCTAATTGTCAAACATGATTGTCATTTTAAATTGGCTCTTTAATATATATTTTTATTATTTACAATTTGTTTTTTTATATTTTGTATAAATTTACAATTTGTTGAACACTAACTGAAGAGGAACATGTAGTCCAAAATGCAATTTAAGTGTTCAGTGTGTTATATATTGTCATAGAGAGCTGTACCTGGTTTAAAAATTATCATTAAGATTTTGTAATCTAACCTGTTTACTGGTGTGATAAGCCCTCATGTATATATGTGTATAATTAATACAAACTTCATTTGGCATTCGATAAATTGCTATCATTCTAATTTTGATATTAATATTAACATTATCATGATAAGTTATTACTAATAATTATTATTATTATTATTANTTATGTATTTTTTCCTACTAGAAATACAACTTCAATGTTCAAATATTATTTATTTATATATAGTTCTTATCTTATTTGAGTGTAAACATTCTAAAAACATCCCTAGCACTTTCAGATCATTTTAGCTCATCTTTAGGAGTCCACTTGACCCGAGGATGAGCTGAAGGCCTGAAAGTGCTAAGGACCTTTTAGAAAATTTGTGCTTAAATAAAACAAGAACTGTATGTAAATATTACTTCTTGAGAGTTGAAGATTAATATTGGATTATTTATTTATTTATAAAATTTGTTTTGCCTATAAAATTCATTTGTTTGTCTTCATGATTTGAAGAACAGACAGTCTAACATCCATCAGTTTGTGTTCTCTTTTTCTCAAATTATGGATATTTCTTTCCTCTCTCCATTCATTTTAGTATAAGATTTCATTCATTCTTTGAATATTAAGCATTGTTGTTAGTTGTGTTGTAGTTAAAATTAAAACATAACTAATATACTGTACTATATTTCATGTAATGATAATCTTTTTATATATTTTGTGAAATATTTGACATCATCATTTCTTTAAGAACCAATGCATAATGTCTGTAAAACATCACTTTTGAACTAATATAAATTAAGATNAAGTAATGGGAATCCTGGAGGTAGTCTTGGCCTTACTCTATCTGGTGCAAACATCCTTAAATAATAACAATTACTGATTTAATAAAATAAATTAATGTAGTAATATGTACACATTTTTGTTTAGATGTTACAAACTGTAAGAAAAATAAATATTTTCTGTTATAATTTACTATTAAAGGGAATCTCAAACATATCAGTTTAGTATTATGATTATTAAAACAACATACACAAATCACAATTTACAAAATATATATAGAATAATTATATTGTAATAGCTTTAAATTTTTATGGTTTAACAGTGTCGAAAATATTCCAAAATTAAATATATGCTGTTTTTGTTTTAAAAGATTTAAAACATTCTAATAATGTAATAACTTTAATAATTCAGATATTTTTATACTGCAAGTCTTTATATAAAATATAGACCACTTATGCATATGCATGTTATCATATGTATTATATGTAACATCAGACATGTTATATTTGGTTAAATATTATCCACATATATTTTATGATTTACTTTATTATGCAGTCATTTATAATTAAATAAATATCTACCTGTGTATAGACTTTGTATAGTCTAATATTAAATTGATAATTTGTATAAATACAAAAATCCGATTAAAATTCTCTAACACGCGATTTGAAATTCAATATTAAAATTTTATTTTTAACAAAACATTTAAACAAATAAAGAAAATTTCTTCTGAATTTTTTGTTATGATCATAAATGACGTCACAAACATTTTATTAATTTTAAAATAATAATAACATTGTTGTATAATGTTTATTTTGCTTTATAAAAATTAAATAAACTAAAATTTAATGTTTTCATTAGTACTTAAGTATATTAAATAAATGATTTATTTTATTAATATTATTGTTTACAATATATAAAAAAGCAAGTTATAAATATTTTGATTGTTTTTCTAGATAAATGTAAAAATAATTTTAAACGTAAAACAATTTTTATCATTGAGCTCTTAATGAACTGGAAAAAAATCGTAATAAACAAAAGCCTTTATCAAATAAATCAAAAATGTATCTAGAAACAAATATTTTTAAAATATTTTCCTATAATTTAATTTTAAAATTATCTTGAAAAGTTTATAATTAAACTTTAATTTAATACAATTAAATAATTTATCGGTTATCAAATTAAATTTTAAAATAATTTTCTTTACTTAATTACTTTTCTACTGTTCAAATAACCGGAAAATTAAATTTTTAAAAATTCTTCGAGTTATAGAATTAAATTTAAACAGGTGAATTCGAATTTTATAGCAAAAAACCCTAAAAAGTAAAATAAATTAATAAAAAAGAGTTTAATATAAATTTTGAAATTTTTATTGATAAAAATTGGTTGTATAGTTATATTTTTAAAATTCATTGCACAATAAGTACAGTATATTTAAGAAATCGTATTTATTATCTTGGTGCCTAGTACAGATATTTAGCGCTTATCCCCGATTTTTATGCCATTAGAAAATAGTAACAAATGCAAAAATCAGTAGATTGGAATTAAAATGAAGGTAATGGAATATTTATTTATTATTTTCGTGTATAATTCGTTAACTTTTTGCATCGTCGAGTAAACTTCGTTTTTATTTCATAAAATACAAGCGATTCTTAATTTGTTATGCTTTACCGATTCATGCGTAAAAATAAATTTATCTTAATCGTACTTATTGAGAAAGTTCAAAATAATTTAATAAAAATATTAAAATTTATATTCGTGGATATTTATTAAATAAAAATTTTGTTTTAAAGTTTTATCGACTGGAAAAAAATTACTATTATTATTATTTTTAGTTTCCGGATAAGTTATCATTCAGTGAGAGGGCGCTGAGGATAAAGACGATTAGTTGTACTGTTTTTATTGATATGTAAACATGGTTAAATTTTTATCATCTGTTAATGAAAATCGACACTGTAAACAAGGTTGAATGAAGTACAAATAGATAAGATTGAGACCATCATGATCAATAGAGACAGGTAAATATCTTTGAGACTTTAAACTGATCTTGTATATAAATATGTCTATTACCAGATGTGTTATTTTAACAAAAAATGTGATTGGTGTTCATGACCTTTTGACTAAACCCATTAGCCAATTAAATATTATCATATAAATTAAATAATTATTGGCTTCTGGTTCATGGTTTCATGTTACAACGCAATGAATGTTTACCCAGAAAATTTCTCTAATTAATCATTTTAAAATGGTGTTAACTTATATGAAAATTAATAAATACAAATTTTCAATTTAAAGTATTGGATACAATATTTATCAGGTAAGATCTTAAATCAGAATATATTTCATTTTAATTAGGAAAAAAACAGAAAGAAAAACAACATAAAATTGCATATAGTGCAACTGTATATAATGGTTCTCATAAAATGTTTCAAAGAGAATTTATTGATGTAATTAATAATTAATTGGGAAGTTCTAGTAATAAGTGAACACTGTTGAGTCATTTCCCATTTGGCTATCAAAATGTGAGATAAACTCCTTGCAAAAATAAATGTGGCGGCATTATCGTTTTCAGTAAGTTAAGTTTACGTAATTCTGTTTATCAAAAATTTATTGTTTCAAATCTTTTGTACAACTCTAGAAGTATGTTTTGAATATGTTTCTTAAATATTGAAAAATATTCATTATAATACAGAATTAAATTAAGTATTAATTAAAATACATCACAGATCATTTTATCTTATTCTATAACTATTATATTAGTAGTTTCTACCTGTGAATTTTATTTGTATTGATTCTGAGGTTTTCTCCTATAACTAAAATTAAAGCTAATTATATATAATTATTTACTAAGAAGATAAAGTCATTAAGTAAATGTTGTGTATTTATTTGAATTATTATGAACTTAGATCTCATAATTAAAGATTTATTTAATTTCATAACAAATTTATGTAAAAAATAAATTATAAAGAAATTGAATAATCTATTGCTTTTAGCCCTTNAAATTTTTAAACAGCTTAACTTGAATAGTGACAAAATTATCAATGTAATTTTGTATGACAATACAGAATGGGAAATGGTTTAAAAATTTAAGATGATTATAATCCTTTATTAATCATGAATGGAAAATTAAAAATTATGGGAAAAAGTGTAATAATCTTATAATTTACCAAAAATATAATCTTATATTTTTGGTAAATTTTTTTGTTTAATATAAAAGCAAGTGTTTCAAATGCAACTGAAATATTTTAAAGTGTACTTTACTATTTACTTTCATTATATATTACTTTTGAAAGATAGAAAACTGAACAATCACTGTAATTTATCAGACTATTTTTTGCTACTATTAATGATTAGATATTAAGTAATTTGGTATTTAATTTGGTACCAAATTACTTAATATCTAATTATTAATAGCGGCAAAAAATGACCCGATTAATTATGGCAATCATTTGGTTTATTATTAATACATTGGGCTTAGTGATGTTTATATATACAGTAGATAGAAAACTGTTTTATATATATGTATAGGCTAACTTTTATCAATTTTTTATAATGATATTTGTTTGTAAAATATCTGATATTATATCAAAAATATTCAGACAAATAAATTTTGAACATCCATTAGGCCTAATAGGTTGTATAATTTCAAATGTACTGTACTTTCATATAAGAAAGAGTGGTTAACAAATGAAAAACATTCATATAAAAATGAGTCCATGTTTAGAATTTAAAAGTACAGCTATATGAAGTATTGTTAAAACTTTACATTTCTATATCAATGATTGGTTTAAGTATAAAAAAAATGCGAAACAATTATTGAATATGGATGATTTAGTTTGATTGGATCAATTTTATTATAGTCAATCATGTTATAATATAATTGGTTAGAAAGATTTTTAACAATCATTCTGATTATTTATTTTTGTTTCATTAATTGTTGTTAGAAAATACACAGTTTCAACTATATTTAACCTAAACTTACTTTTTTAAAACTCAGTTGGAAAACTTTTATAAATTTTTTATTTGATATTTTATATCACNATCTGATATTATATCAAAAATATTCAGACAAATAAATTTTGAACATCCATTAGGCCTAATAGGTTGTATAATTTCAAATGTACTGTACTTTCATATAAGAAAGAGTGGTTAACAAATGAAAAACATTCATATAAAAATGAGTCCATGTTTAGAATTTAAAAGTACAGCTATATGAAGTATTGTTAAAACTTTACATTTCTATATCAATGATTGGTTTAAGTATAAAAAAAATGCGAAACAATTATTGAATATGGATGATTTAGTTTGATTGGATCAATTTTATTATAGTCAATCATGTTATAATATAATTGGTTAGAAAGATTTTTAACAATCATTCTGATTATTTATTTTTGTTTCATTAATTGTTGTTAGAAAATACACAGTTTCAACTATATTTAACCTAAACTTACTTTTTTAAAACTCAGTTGGAAAACTTTTATAAATTTTTTATTTGATATTTTATATCACTTCTTAATTTTATTGAATACATTTATATTTTACTCTGTAGACTTCTATTACCTAAATAAATATGTTTGGAAATTATCAACATGTTTTCTATAGTGGCGTGCCATCATTGGAAGCGCTGTTTCCCTTGTATTTTCTAAAAAAATAAATACATATTGTGCCATTATTTTCATATCTTAACATATTTTGGATTAATTAAAATTAATATTTTATTATAATCGCATTATGTATCTTATTACAAATTTCTATACTACACATGAAAAAACTGATAAGATTGCTATTGTATACTCGAATATCAGTGGCGGAATGGAAGCGTTGTATTGCCGAAACTGGGTCAGCTTCCAAACAGCCAGATTATACGCATTCGTGCATGTGCTTTACAGTGCACCAATCTCACGTGGTTTAGCTGGTGGAAGCTATACACATATAATGCTTCCAATGATTCTATCCCGGACCGGTTCTGGGCTGTTAGCCACCTGTCTGCTAGATATTTGGCCGCCCTCGCCCGATTATATGAATCTCGAGTAGATTTATAACTTAACCCAACCAATAGAAATTTACTGGTATGTTTTTATGATAGTTCTGTTTAGTTGACATGAGTTTTAAAAAATCCATTAAAATATTTGATATTTTTATTCTGCTCTCCCATCTTATATTACTTACGGATTTCAATGTTAAACCAGTGATATTACGATTTCATATGTCCCATCTATAAGGGGATGTAGAAAAAAACGTGTACAATTCTTGTACAATGTTAAAAAATTAACTGTTTGGTAGCATCATTTACAACTAAATTTAATGAATGAGGGAGATGCACAAGATACAGAAAAAGCTCTAGAATTTATTTTTCTTAAATTTACGATTTATGTATCTGTTGTCATAAAAATTTGTCTTTCCACTTTTTTCCGAGACTGCAAATATTTGAGTACAAAGTAACTGGTTTCAACTTATTTCTACTTAAGTAGTAGTTAAATAATTAAGAGATTAGGGAATTGGGAACATAAATAAAATCCTGCTGAAAGAACAGGAATTTTACTTAAACAAAAGCTTAGCCAAACCAATCTCTAGCCAAGTACAGTGGGGACTGATTTATTCGTAATATTAGATGTAATAAAGACAGACATTTTTCTGGTTCAACGAGAGTGACGAAAAGTTATAAATTTTGGAAATTTCTTTGGACATTTGGTCCTAAAATGAATTAGTTAGAAAACAAATGGCTATTAAGTTTAACATATTTAGATTTTTACAGCTATGGTGAAAAATGTTTAAAATCTACAACAACCCTGTCGCGTCCTTTGAGGTATATTAGTGATGCGACAAAAGAGGTATTTGACCTTGACCAGTATCGGCATCCTGGGGATTTGGCAGTCTGTGTGTATGCACGCACTGCAGCCGTCTCTGATTCCATCCATTAGGCACTCTTAGGGAGCTATTTGACTAAGTGAATTGTTTTAAGATTTAAAAAGTAAAGAATATGTTATGTTATTTTTATGTATGTTTCTTTACAAAATTATATTTAATTATAATTTTTTTAAAAGTATATTTATGCAATTCAAGAATATTTTGTACCAGGTATGTATATCCATCACACATTTTATTTCACTAAGTAAGTTTTTATTATTTTATTTTTTAATTGTAGCCCTTATATCATGGTTAGCAATTCAGAATGTAATTGTGATATTAAAAATACATTTAGAGAAGTCTACGGGTTTTACTGGCTTATCGGACAAATGAATACGAATGGACCTTAGACCATCACTGACACACAATTGATTGCCCCTAGAAGTCGGCTTCTTACAGAAACAGCTTCCCTATCATCAAATGTCACGGCATGCCACTGGTTTTCTAACATTTTTTTTTTTTTTTTTGTATATACATTTCTTAGTATATTGCAAACATAAAATAAAGTACACAAGAAACATTTCTTTTTCCAGACAAATATATATATAAAGAACAAATTTTTTTTAACCTAATTTATAGGTCTACATCAGGTTCACTTACATTCTAAATAAAAATTCTTTTTGGAATTTCAAATTCAAATTAATTTTTCAAAATATATGAAATATATAAAGAAACATTTGTTGAATCAAAAAGTGCTGTACTTTCATTATTGTTAAAGAATTATACTGTATACATATATATACAAAAATATACAATTATCTACAAACAAATAACTGTATTCTTTAAATTTCAAGCAAGTAAATTTTAAAATGTAAGTGAACCAAATCTTCTGACAAGCATGTTTGGATTCTACACTTTTCACTCATTTAATCAAATTATTTATTAAAATAATTTTGAATGAGTTCAGATGGATCAAATCATACTGAAATACTTCTCAATAAAGTCACTTTTATTTCCTATATATTGATGTTGAATTTTTTTTATGAATCTAATCAAGTACTAGTCTACTTTATATTGATTGATTGCAACTATTATATACATATAATTTGTATATTAATTTATTAAAATTTATTATTACAAGTAATGTAACTTTTGTATGAAAACTGATATT